TACTTACGTAACGCTTATGATGTTATAATTTCAGGTACATATATTATTTTATTAAAGATTAATTATTAATCATTCTTATTAACACTATTTGTTTAATTAAATCATGTATTAATTTATTTTACTAACCACAATTAAAATTGTAATATGAAAAACAATATAATAATAATGATGACATTAAAAAATTGTAAAATGTTCACATTATTGTAATCAAATGTAATACTGTAATCAAATTGTTAACTGTATACAAATTTAAATGTCAATGTAAACAATGTAATTCAGCCATTGTAAACTATTAATTAACGATGTTAAAGATTCTTAACCCTTAAAGGTTAACAATCTTTTTTTTGGTAGGGAGGTGTAATGGGATTACGCAATATCATGTATTTGCTCATAATAACAACCAGAATTGGGATTACGCAATATCATATATTTGCTCATAAAAACAACCAGGAATGCGACCACACCCAAAAGTGTTTTCGACTAAAGAATACCACTTTCATAGTCGTGAGGTCCATATCAAGGACGACTGTACACGCGCCGCTCACTTCAAAGGACGCCGCCACCATATATATAGGGGACAGCGAGACACCCAAAGTAGATGTACCAGAGCCGCCAAGACCGAGCGAGCCGTTTAGCCACCAGCCTTTACACACGACTTACATGGAGATTATCGACTACTACAACGAGTCAACTCACGACGCTGCAATTCACCACGACTACATTATTTATTATTGATTTTAATAAATTACAATTGATTTATATTTAAATTGACTACATTTTATTGTAAAAGTGCAACAAGCTTTTGGATCCCTGAAGGGCAGCATGTAACAGAATATCGTTTTGATGGATTACACCACATACCCGGTTTTGATAATCTCAAAAATGCTACTAAGTGTAAAAACGAAAAGTGTACAAGAAGAACACATTATTATTGTAAGAAGTGTGACCGTCATTTATGCTTAGATAAAATAAGTAATTGTTTTGAGCAATATCATGCAGAGTAATATCTATTATAATTTTACTTCCTATTTTTTTTAAGACATGACTTTTGTAATGTTACTATTGTTATTTACTATGAACTGTTTATATGTTATTTTTATTTTTAAATATTTAGTAAACAATGTTTTTTTTTTTTTAATTTAAATATTTTAGTAAACGAGATTCGTTTTTTATTTTTTATTTTTTTAATTTTTATGAGTTTTTTTTTATTTTTTATTATTTATGAGTTGTTTATTTTTTACTTACAGGAAAATGTAATATTGTTTTTTTATTTAAAAAGTTTTTTTAATAAACGAGGTTCGTTTTTTTGTTATGTGAAAATTAAAAATATTTTTTTTTCTTTCCACTAAATCCCAAGGTACACTACGGTGTACCCATCCGTAAGTCTTTCAATATTCGTCCGATTTTTTTAAAACCTGGATTAAATTATTCGTGGATACATGACAATAAATAATTAAAAAAAAAAAAAAATTTATAATATTACACAGAATAGTCAGGTCTGAAAGGGTTAAGGTATACATAATCTTAAGTCATTGCTGCTGTTTTTGGTGTAAATACTTCACTGTATAAAATATATTTCATTGTATTTATCCTTGGAGTATTGCTTCTTAGTTTACATACTCGACCGAAATTTGAAGCAGTGGGGCGGTGTTTTCGTTCTCTATGCTAATCATCGCTTTTAGCTTGATCTATTGTTTTTCTTTCTAATAAATTGATTTCCTGGACACTCAGCTTTAAGTTATTTAAAATAGTAATTTGTCTTTGTTCCAAATCTTCCTGTGAAATCGGCAGTCTGCCGCAACCCAGCTCATTATAAACATCTCCGTAGTCTTTATTAGGTCCTGAAAATGATTTCAATTTATTAGTTTGTGAACTAAAAAAGTATTAGGTATCATAAATAAGGGAAATATTTTAAATGGGAAGAAAATAATTTTAAAGTATAATTACCCGGTAGATGGTCCGAAGATGGGCTTAGATTTTATACTGTTTTGCTGCCTGTTATATTTATCTTTTTGCAATTTTCGTATATATAATTTTGTAAACTTTCCTGGACTTTCTTTAGTAGCAGTTTTATGAAGTTTACGTATGTAATCAGGACCAAAATTAAAAGACGACACCGCTGTCATACATCTTGTATTATAAGAACCTATACATTTGGTTTATAATATATCAAATACAGATTACCTTAACTATGTAAAACATTTTATATAATTATTACCTCTCAAAGAATAGTTTATTCTTCCCCCCCCCCCCCCCCCCCCCACGAATTTGGCAACTACACTATTATACGATTCTACATAATTGTTGTCAACATCATAAATTAAACTATCTGCAAGATAAGCTACTAGATTTTTGGCTGCAATAATGTCTTGCTATAAGCCACATCCTACCATTTCCGGAACATGGTTTTGGATATTAGCTTCAGGTTTACAAAAATATCTGAAAACATTTTTAAAATTTAAATAATTTAAATCTTAGGTATATATTTTTAACATAATTTTTACTGACGAGTCACACTTGTCATGACAACCAAATACATGATACGGTCCATTATCTATATTTATTTTTAAAAATTTAGATTTTTGATCAATGGTTAGGTTGTCAACTTTTTTCCAGTGCTCAATAGCTTTAGTAATTCCATACCTAAATAAAAGGCCTCCCGGCCTCCTGGCTTCCCGCAACAACTGCGCGGCCATCGTCCGGAGCTTTTCCACATGCGTGGCAATCATGCCGCGGGATGGCCGGTGGTTGCGGTTTGGTGGTGGATGGTTTGGTCGTTCTGCTATCTGAAACAAAGTATGATTAGTTAGTGTTCTCTGACGGTCCTACAGCTCGCTTCATCGCTGAGACATGTAACTTAGTAGGGTGTTTACCCTCCGTCAAGAACACTCCGGTTCCTAGTGGCTTACCCAACTTAACCGGACCTAACCATATATGGCTCATACTTGGCATATTCAATAAAGCAGAGAAGATTTCTAATTGTACATAACCTTGTCCTGAATTTACTGATGCTGTAGCCTGTAACAGCTGCTGTATTAACGTCCATAATTGACATACTGGGATCTTCAGATTCAATAATTTCTTGTTTCCAACGCATAGCACAATTAAAGATATATTCACTATACAAACCATTTCTCTTCTCACCGACAAAAACCAAATTTTTAAAAGTACAGTCAAACGGTTGATGATTAATTTTTGATATTTTTTCAAAAAAATAGGCAATATTAATTATCTAATTCAGGGTGGTCCAACCCGCGAAGCTTTTTTTTTGGCCCCTCAAACATTATTAAATCACAATAATATTATAAAAAAATCGCAATAATAAGGTATAAAATTTATACGAATTTATACGAATTATTTACGAATTGTTATACGGCGGGAAATCCCGGGAGTCGGTCATATCACGATAAAACGCGATGAACTGCGTGAATACTATTCACAATCGCACAATTGCGAGCATTAAATATTTCTCTAAACAGTCTAAACTAAATCTAATCAGTAACTGTCTGTGTCGTGTGACCGTGTGACAGTGCCCGTGTTATTACCGTACATACGTATTTTTACCACGTCTGAAAGAAAAAAACGTAAATTTGACGATTAAAAAAGAGTGTCTAATTCAAAATGGGAACTAATGTATTTATGTATTGAAAATAACAATATACCTATGTGCCTAATTTGTTTACAAGTTATTAGCGTTCTAAAAGAATATAATATAAGTTGGCATTACACGAGCATGCACAAATCATATGATAAATATACTGGAGATTCTCGGCTTGCATTATTAAAAGACCTTTCTTCGAAATTAACAAAATAAAAAATGTATTTTTAAAAAAACAAATTAACGATCGTGACAATTTAATAGCTTCTTATGAAGTGTGTTTAGAATTGGTCAAACAAAAAAAAAGGTTTAGAGACGGCGAATTAATTAAACGTTGTGCAATAAAAATGGTAAATGCTTTTGGAAACAAAGAAATGGCAACTAAATTTGAAACTATATCACTTTCTCATCATACTGTTAGTAGAAGAGTCAATGAAATGAGTGATCATGTATCTGGAATGCTTCGTAATATAATACAGAATTGTAAGTACTATTCTTTAGCATTAGATGAAACTAATGATATCGCGATAACAGTCAATAAATCATATTTATTCGAACAATTGATAAAGATTTTAATATACATGAAGATCTACTTCAAATAAAACCATTAATTACTGGAACTAGGGGTGTAGATATATTTGAAGCACTGAAAAAAATTATTTCAGATTTTGGTTCATTTAACAGTTGCACTGGTATAATCACTGATGGTGCTCAAGCTATGGTTGGGATACATACTGGTTTAGTAGGAAATTTAAGGCAAATGGGGCTAAAATGTTTATTTATTCACCAAGAAGCACTTTGTGGCAAGTTTGTTAAGATTAATGAAACTATGAAAAAAGTGATAAGCATTGTTAGTTTTATTCGTGGTAGTAACAAAGCTCAAAGACACAGAGCATTTATTACATTTTTAGAAGAAATGGAAAGTGAGTATGGTGATATCCCGTTACACTGTGATGTAAGATGGCTGAGTGCAGGGAATTGTTTGAAATCTTTTTTTCGCATTGAGAAGTGAAGTTTTTGAATTTCTTAAATCTAAAAATATTGGACAACAGTTTTACGAAGACTTACAAATATTTCATTCATGAAGTCTCTTGCTTTTCTTACTGATTTGACATCTCATTTAAATATTTTAAATTTAAAACTGCAAGGTAGAGGACAAAATAGATGTCAGCTTTTTAGTAATATTGAAGGTTTTCGGAAAAAATTAGAAGTATTTAAAAACGCATTAGAAAACAATGATACTACATATTTTCCATCATGCCAAGAAATTTAAAAAATTGAAAATAAATCGGTATGCTTTATTGAATTTAAAAATATAATTACAGAACTAATAACAGAATTTAATTCACGATTTAAAGATTTTTATATATTGAAACCTAAATTTGAATTATTTAACAACCCAATGACAGTTGATATCTCAGTACAACCTCCCGATTTTCAAATGCAGTTATGTGATTTACAATCACACTGTTTTCTTCAATCAAAAGTAAATCTGCCTCCTGAAGAGTTTTGGAAACTGTGTTCACAAGAAAAATTCCCAATATTACGGAATATGTCTCTTGAAATGTTGTCATTATTTGGCAGTTCGTATATTTCTGAATCGGCATTTTCTACAATGAAATTAATTAAATCAAAATCAAGAAACCGTATTAACAATTCGTCTTTAGAATCGTGCATCAGATTAGCCACCACAGCGTGTTCAATTGAAATTGATAAATTGGCTACTGAAAAACAATGTCAATCATCACATTAATAGTTTATTTTTTATTTTTTTTATTGTAATAAGACATTCCTAGCCTCATTAATTTTTTTAGTATTTTTTTGTTTAATTTAATTGTAATTTTGTAATGTATTTTTGTAATTTTTTAATAATAATTAATAATTTGTGTATTATATAAAATAAAAATATAAATAGGTAATAATATAATTTTTTTCTTCTGGCGGCCCCCGGTGTTTTTATGAAAGTGTAAATTGGCCCTCCAACTACAAAAGGTTGGACCACACTGATCTAAAATTGATCTAAATATAAAAATTACTAAAGTGATACAAGTATCAAGAAATGTAATTTTAAACGAAAAATAAATATTTACTTTTCTTCTTCAATGTTGGAGTTAGTTTCATATAATAAATGTCCTGTTACTTCTTGACTAGTTGAAGGTACACCATTATCAAATAATATATTTGATTTTGGAGTTTCTTGAACAGATGTGTCCTTATTTGAGGAATACGATTCTTTAGATGAGCTAATTGTAGTCAATTTACTACAAAACAATATATAAAATATAAATATATATAAACTTTATTATTAGTATTTACTAAAAAAAAATAAAATTTGGATTTGGATTTGTCCGTAAGAACCTCAAAACGAATTACAATATTTTCAAAATTGTATGGTGTATAGAAATTGAGATTATAAACATTCAGTGAAATTTTCATGCATTTAAGGTTATTTGGTTTTTGAATTACAACAAAATAAGAAAATCGCTACATGAGAAATCGAGTGAATATCCGTGTTGTAAAAATATGAACTTTAAACGCTCATAAAAATTTAATTGGACTTGCTTTTAGTTATATTTTTTTTTGATAAAAATAAACAAACTTATGATAAATCTTGTATTACGTCTTAAAATCTTAGATCTAAAAAGAAAATTTTTTATGAATTTCAAACTCAAAATGATTTGCAAATTTTCATCATTTTTACGTAATTTGTCAAAATTTGAACTTTAAATACCTATAAAAAAATTCTGATTACACCCATTTTTAATATTTTTCATCTGCCTTTGAACAAATACATTTAGCAGCTTTCTTTCAAATTTTCAAAATTTTTTACCCAATAAATAAAATTGTATTGATATTCATAAAAATTAAAAATTAAAAATATTGGAGATTGAAAATGTCCGTAATCCGCTAAAAATAAGTCAAAATATTTTGAAAATGTTATGGAATGTAGAAAATGCTTATATAAATCTACGGTTGTGTTTAAAACAAAAATCGTATTTGCGCAAAAATTCATATTGGCACCGGGTGTCTTAAATTTTCTTGAGTGTTTCACGGCGCTTCGGAGAACTACTGTACTACTTTTGACCCCCAAAGAACCAACTAGATTCATTTTCCTATCATAAAAGATACTATTATGTAATCTAAAAATTTTTACTGTCCTGAAGAAAGTGGTTACAGACAAAAAACCAAAAAAATATAATAAAATAAATTAATAAAAAACACATAATATTATCATTGTAAAATCAAGACATTCATCAGATTCGAAAATTATAAATCTACAATCATAAATAGAATAAATTACTTAATAGATTAGTTTATAGTTTAATACTTACAATATTTTTAACTTTATTGTTTGAGTCTATAAATCAGAAATCTATAATAAAATATAGTATTTACAGTTATTACTTACCGTGCGATTTTTCCTCGTTTTTTTTCTTATAAGCTGCAACTGTTTTAGATTTTATTCCATATTTTTTTGTTCATTGTTCATTTATCAATAATAAATTCCGATTTCGGAAACCCGATGGCTTATGCTATTTGTGGCTTTGGTTGCTAGAGGCTTTTACTAATTGTTATCAGAAACATAAACCTAATAATTTTTGTTATTATATTAAATATAGTAATGGTGATTATAAACCTCCTGTAGAATATTCTGGTCCAAATGTAGCTAAGGAATTTTTAAGTTGTATAGACTAAGAGGAAAAAAATATTTCAAAAATATATGATAAAATAGTTTCTATGAAAAATTTTAATGTAGGACAATTAAATAATTATTATAATAAATCAGATAAATGTCATATTTGTTAAAGACGTTTAGATGAATTACCTCCAGTTTTAGGAAATAAATTTAAAATAATTAAAAATCTTATTGAACATTTTAAAAAATGAAATGATGATAAGTATCAGTATCTTATTAAAAAATATGAAGGTCAACTTAACGAAGAAAAAAAAAATACAAATACAAATATGATAAAAGTTCGGGATCATGACCAACTGGAGAATATCTCGGAGCAACACATTCTATATGTAATTTCAATTACAAAAATCCTAATTTTATCCCAATTGTTTGTCATCATTTTTCAGGTTATGATACACATTTATTTATTAAAGAGTTTGGGAATGATGAAGATGATATAATATTAATTCCAAATAATGAGGAAAAATATACAAATTTTTCAAAAATTAAATATCGTAAAATTAAAAAAATGTATTCTGATAAATGTTTTAAATTAAAAATAGAATTAAGATTTATTGATTCTTTTAAATTTTTACCGAGTTCTTTAGAGAAGTTAACAAATAATTTGAGAAATGATTCGAAATTAAATTTAAGAAATAAATTTAAAGAATTTAGTAAATATTTTTCTAAAGAACATTTAGATTTAGTTACTAGAAAGTTAGCTTATCCCTATGAGTATATGGATTGTGAAGAAAAATGTAATGAAACATGTTTACCTCCTATAGAAAAATTTTATAGTTCTCTCATTGATAAAAATATAACAATAGAGGAATATAAAAACTCACAAAAAATTTGGAAAGTGTTTAATAATAATCTTTATCGTCAATATTGTTAATATATATATAATATTTTACAAATAGTTAACAAAAACTAAAATAAACAATTAATGACGCCGCCCCAAAAGCATAGCTTGTGGTGGGTGCAGCAAGTTCAATACAACACAAAATATTACATAAATTATTTATATAAACATATATTTTTTATTATTATTTATGAAAATTACATTGGTCTAGAATAAAAATTTCATATTATATTAATATAATGATAGAATAAAACTAAATATATTTATATTTTTTAAATTTTTAAATTTTTATAATGTAACATAGTTAAGATTTAGATGTTTTAAAAAAATTTTATAATGATACTTATTTTTATATGATTTTAAATTAATGTTAAGTTTAATACATAAACAAATACCGACATTAAAAACCATTTTTCTACCAAATTCTTTCTTGGTTACTGGAATATTCAGATTCACTGTTTGTTTCATGCGTGTTTGATAGGTATGTGTCTGGTAATAATCTTTTAGATCTATGTTAAAAATATAGTTAAGTATATTCCATGTATACAAGCCATTCAGGTTTCTTACATTGAATGCCCTGTAAAGGTCACATACATGAAAATCATACGGTTTTAATAGTATAAATCTCAACAGTGAGTTTAATGTAATAATAAGTGGATTTAAAGCAAACTTAGATGCGTTTCCCCAAACAACTATACCTTAATTTATAATGGATTGTACTAGTGCTAAATAGACTGTACGCAAGGTGTTGGTGTTGAGGATATCTTTCAACAATTTGAATTTATAAAACAGCTTTCGTATCATACTAACTACATGATTTATATGTGCAGTCCACCTCAAGTTTCTATCAAAAATCACCCCAAGGTATTTAATTGAGTCAACATGCTCAAGTTTATCACATTTACATGAATCTAAGACATATTACAATTTGAGTAGTGAATAACTAATGGATTGTGTATTAAACTTTGTTATTATAAATTTCAAAATACATATACTTAGATTTTTTAATATTTAGTTCAAGTAAATTATTTTCAAACCCGGTATTTATTGTTTCCAAGGTGCGCGAAGCCAGTATATTAACTACATTATTTGAGGTACCGCTAACCAAAATTAAGGTATCATCAGCAAAACTGATTATTTTAGCATTTAAATTTAAACCAAATAAACCATTTGTATAAATTATAAAAAATAGAGGTCCTAACACTGTACCTTGTGGGATACCATAGTTAATTGGTAAAAAGTTACTTAAATCATTATCCACTCTAACAGCTTGATATCTTTCTACCAAAAAAGATGAGAATAGATTAAGTGCTTTACCGCGAACACCAGCATATTCAAGTTTACTGATTAAAATATTATGGTTTACCGAATCGAATGCTTTTTTCAGATCAAGAAAAATGCCCATTACTTTATTATTATTATCTAAATTTTCCCTAATGTATTTATCTCCTTGTACTAAAGCGTCAATTGTTGATTGACCAGACTGAAAAAGAAAAATTGGTTTTCTGAAAAAAAATTATTTTTTATTAAAAAGTCATATAAACGTTTTTTTTTAAACATTTCTCAAATATTTTACTAATATATAGTGAAAGTGAAATAGGTTTATAATTGTCACAGATTTTCTTATCACCTGTTTTGAATAAAGGAATAATAATACATTTTTTAAAACAATCAGGAAAAACTCCATATTTAATAGTTTTATTAAATAATAACGAAAGAGGTAATGATATTTGTTTAGACGATCTTTTTAAAAAATAATTTGTCATTCCATATTCGTAATATGAACACTCATCTTTTAGTAAGTTTAAGTAGTTCTCAATTTCATTTGTTGAAATCGGATTGAGAAATAATGATTCATTTACGTGACAATTTTTGTTTAAATATTTCCAATCTAATTTATGATAACTTTTGTTTTTAATATTTTTAGATATATTTTCACCAACATAATATTATTTGGTAAAATAATCATTTAGAATATTACAAATTTCAAATTTGTCTTCAACTATTTTATCATCATTATTATAAAGCGAGGCAATCTGAATTTTAGGTTTATTATTATTATCAATAATTTCATTTATAATACTCCATCTAGATTTAGTATTTGAATTTGCTTGTAAGATTTAATTTTGATAGTGAAGTATACGTGCATTTTTAATAACAATTTGAAGTAGATTTTTGTATTTTGAGAATTTAATAGCAAAATTTAGATCAAAAGGCCTTTTTCGTTTTTGTTTGTACATTTTTTCTTTTTTATTAATTGAAACTAAGATCCCCTTATATCCCCTTGTTATCCATTTTTTTAGTTTAATAAATGTACGACAATTTTTTATTTGTACTTCATTTGTACAACTATTTATAGCAGTACTTATTTTTTCATTGAACTTAGTTAATACATCATTAATAGACAGACAAAAGAAATGTTTATTCCAATCTTCGTTATTTAAAATTGAATTTAATCTGTTATTATTAATCTTTTTAATTGTAGTTTGATTAAAAGAAACATATTCAGATTTTTTGTTGTTTATTAGAGAATCGACATCTGTTAACAAAGAAGTACCATAATGATCAGTAATACTAATACGTATAATATAACTAGAGATAAGGTTAGTATCTAAATTTTTTGAAAATATGTGATCAATATTACTATTGGAATCATTTTGGCTTCTAGTTATACCATTTATACTAGAGAAAAAAACATGTTTACTCATAATGTTGAGATAATTTGTTCAATTAGAATTATCAGACAATAAATTAATATTAATATCACCACATATATAATGAAACTTATTTTTGTTATTTATAGTAAGAAAATTGTCGAGAGAATCTAAAAATAAATCAACATTGCAACTTGGTGGTCTGTATATTCCAGTAACCCGGTAGTTAATATTATTAAATAAGATAATTATATCTAATGAGTTTCAAAAATCAATTACATTAAGTTATCAATTAGTTTATACTCGATACATAAAAACAATCTTTTACAAAAATAGAGATACCATCTGATTTACCAGACAGTGATAATGATTGTATCCAAGTAAGCTTATGTTATAATCATTGGTTAACCAAGTTTCACTAAGTACAATAATATCGAATTTATCATTAATAGTACTCAATAAAATAGCTAGTTCATCTAAATTACATTTAATACTTCTTATATTCATTGCAAAAATAGAAAACCCTTTATCATAAAATTTGATCTCACTTATAGAATTAATATTTTTTGTTTCAAAACTATTTATTGCTTTAATTTCATTACATATATTTAGTAAAGTATGAATCATTTAAACTAAGGAAAAATATATATACAGTATTTTTAATATCTTAAGTTAATGTTCTATTACGCCATCATAGAGTTGAATAACTTTTTTATCAACATCAATCTTGATAAGTTGATTGACAGATATGACTCGAAAACTATGTGAACTATAATTTTTTTTCATGAAGACTCCGCTTGAGTTAGTCCAGGTATATATGAAATCATACGTCTTTGATAATAATTTCGATAACCAGAATAATCTTTTATTTCCCTTTGATAGCTGATCATTTATATATATATTTGTTTCTGGGAAATTCGAATTAACGTGATTGGACGTCAATTGTTTACCTGACTTGTATAAGGTTTTAATTCCAGATACCAAATTATCTTTTATTATTTTATTAATAAAATGAACAATAATCTTTCCCTGACTATCTTTATTATTTTTCTCTCTATATAGTTTTGATAAATTGGAGTTTTTAATTTCAATGTTTAGTTTTTTTCCAAAGCAGATAATTACATCATTTAATGACTCGTTGACACATAAAGGAATACCAGATATTTCGGTATTATTAGTAAGTGCATTTTGTTCGGGTACGTTAGAATTATTTTTTAATAATTCTAATTCATTTATCATTATCTTATATTTTTTTTTCCATATCGCTTAAACGGTTTTCAACGTCATTTACTTTATTGATTACACCATCAAGTTTGGAATTAAAGTCATCGATTTTATCTGAACAAAAAGTTATAGATTTTTCAACTGATTTAACCGTAGTAACCAAATTTTCAATTTTTGATAAAATAGATGCTATATCCATTTTGACAAGACTTAGGCTATCTATAGATTCGTCTTTAACTGAAGATGAGTTAGTATTATTTTTTCTTACTGTAAAATTTGGAACGGAGCATTCCGCACATTTCCATGAGTTCCTGTTATGTGATAAATATTTCGACAACTACAGCATTTAATACTATTTGTCTGAGTAACATTATTTTTACAACTAACGCACGACATAATAACACAGATAATAATAATAATAAATAATATATTAATAATATGAAGATAAGATAAGATATAGGGATAATAAGATAAATACACAACCTTCATTGTTTTATTGTTAGCAGATATAATAGACAATTTTAGAGACATTTCTTTAAAAAATTATGAATTAGATCCTATGTGGTATTACACAACACCTGGATTTGCATGGGATAGCATGTTAGGAATGACAAATGTAAAATTATATTTACTTACAGATGTCGATCAAATGTTGATGATTGAATCTGGAATCAAAGGTGGCTTATCTCAATGTAGTCAAAGATATTCAAAAGAAAATATTAAATATATGGGAGATGAATTTAAAAAAAGGATGAATAAATATTTTTACAATACTTAGATGCAAAAAATCTTTATGGTTTTGCAATGAGTAAATATTTACCTACTGAAGATTTCAAATGGGTTGATAATCTGAATGATTTTGATGTAATGAATATTTCTGATAAATCATGTAAAAGTTATATTTTAGAAGTTGATTTATCTTACCCTAAAGAACTTCATGATCTACATTCAGATTTCCCTTTAGCACCAGAAAGACATTTTGATGACAAACAAGTCCCAAAATTATTAACAACTTTGTATGATAAGAAAATATATATAATACATTATTAAACACTACAATTATATATTAATTTAGGTTTAAAAATAGAGAAAATTCATAGAGTGTTAGAATTTAGTCAATCTCCTTGGTTAAAAGTGTATATTGATTTTAATACTAATCTCAGATCAGAAGCTAAGAATGAGTTTGAAAAAGAATATTTCAAATTAATGAACAATAGTGTTTATGGACGTACCATGATGAATGTTTGAAATCATGTTGATATAAGATTATGTTCTTATGCATCAAAAGTAGAGATATTAATTGAAAACCAAATTTTGATCGAAGAATAATTTTTACAAAAAATTTAGCTGCAGTACATATGAAAAGAACACAAATATCTTTCAAACAACCAATATATATATATAGGAATGTGTGTTTTAGATTTATCTAAAATGTTAATGTATGATTTTTATTTTAATATTATAAAGAAAAAAATATGGAAATAGAGTTAGATTGTTATATACAGATACAGACTCACTAATATTAGAAATAAAAACTAATGATTTTTATCAAGATATGAAAATGATGTAAGATCATTTTGACACTTCAGATTATCCAAAAGAAATATTTATGGTTTACCTTTAGTTAACAAAAAAGTTTTAGGCAAGTTTAAAGATGAGTTAAATGGAAAAATTATAACTGAATTTATAGGTTTAAGATCCAAATTATATTCACATCAAATCTTAGATACTGAAAAAGAAATTAAAAAAGCTAAAGGTGTTAAAAAAAATGTTGTGGAAAATAAAATAAGTTTTAATGATTTTGAAAATTGTTTACTGACAAAAAAATGGTACATTAGCTTGGGGACATTATAAAACAATTATAGATAGAAATGATTTTGTAAAACATCTCAATACACTAATTAGAAATCAAAATCAAAAAGATTAGAAAAATATTTTTAATAGAACAAAAAAATATATTTACTAATATAAATAATAGAAATGGAAAATTGTAAAAAACTTTTAGATAAGATAAAAGGTATAAAGATATATTAAAAGAGTTATCAGAAATTGAATAATCTATGAATAGTCTAGAATTTCATGTATCACATTTATATCAATCTTATGATGATAATGAGTTACATAAAATTTTTTAAGAAATTAATTGGTTATTTTAAGGAACTTCATAATGAATTATTAGAGCATATAATGAGTCATTGGATTGATGACTATTTTTTTTTAATGTTCACTAAATTGTTGTTAGATTTTTTTAATAGAGCAATTCTATTAAAAATTTAAATTAATATGTCTAACTACAAATACTATATTATATTTTAATTGTAATTATTAATATTATTTTTAGGAAATATTACATTTCAATTTTTAATTATTAATAATATAAGTTTTATGAAAAGTATTTTTAGGAAATATTGCATTTCGATTTTAATTATTAAAAATTATGTTTTGCGGAAAATATTTTTATTATTTTTGCATTTCATAAGTTTTGCGAAAAATATTTTAATTATTATTGCATTTCAATTTTCTGATCTTTTTGCACATTGTTTTCTTTGTGATCTTTTACTGATATAAAATGAGAAAGGAATGGTACATCTATACTACTAGTACCTACTGCATAATATATTGTATATTTAATATTTATTCGAGCCCATGTCAAACGATTTAGGACATTTAGGTGCGTTGCTCATAAATGTAGATAATAAAAGTAATAGTGGTTGTCAATTAAATATTGTTATTTATCAACTAATCTATTTATTAATTTGATTCTATGCTAAAGATTAAACCTACCTATTGTATACTCAAATTAATAATAATATATAATTATTTTATAATATTGTTTCTGTGACATCCATCATCGACTCGAGCTGGGATAATATTTTATTAAGTATATAATTTAATTAACCCAACCCAGCCACCGTGTACCAGGTACCTAGGGCTGTTCGATTGTCATAATACATACTCGATTGTCAAAAGTACTAAATAATCGAAAATTTCGATTAAGTATTCGAAGTTTTTTATCAAGAAGTGCTAGAGTGCTCGATTGTTGAAATAGTCAAAGACATATCGATTAATCTATTAAAACAATCGATTAATCTATAAAAACAATCGATTAATCGATTAAAACAATCAATAAAAGTTTAATGGTTTTGAGCATTGTTGAATTATATTTCCTGCTAGGTTTATGGTTTACTCATTTAAGAGTTTTCAAATGCAACGACTTATCGTTAGATTAATATTTAATATTCTTGTAAAATACTAAAAAGTATAAAGAGTATTCAGGTATTCTATTTGACGATTATAATGATGATGAATAAAACATTCTATGTCATTATGTTTGTTTTTATTTTAAGTACACATAAGAGATGGCTTTCTTTTAAATTATAATTATATATTTTTCTGTAAAAACAAAATTAAAAACAAAAAAAAAACAAAATAAACTACTTTCTTTTAAATACTATTTTTTTTTTTTTTAAATAACAAAATTAAAAACAAAAACAAAACAAAACAATAGAAACTTTTGTACAATATTTAAAAAATCATTTAAAAAAATTTAAAAGAAACTTGTTTTCTTTTAAGTACTCATAAGAAATTACTTTCTTTTAATACTATATTTAAAAAAAAAAAAAACAAAATTAAAATTAATAACAACACTTATTTTGGTAATAGTAACTAATATAAAATATTTAAATCATAATTTAAAAGGAACATTTAAAGTGGGTTGCTCACATATTTTTTGTTCATTGACAAAAATATAAGTTGACTACAATGATCATCGGTCAATGATGCCCTAGTATCTGTTATTATATTCCCAGCACGACTAAAGACCCTTTCTGATGCTACGCTGGTAGCTTGTACACTTAATAATTTTTTAGCAAAATTTTGTAATAAATTCATCTTTAAAAATAGGTACCTAATTATTTTAAAAATACAATTTGGAAATAAATTTGGAACTTACCTATCTAGGCTGGTTTCTAAATCATCATCTATGCCTTCTGTACCTCTTTTTAATCTGTCTAGTTCGTGATATTTATATTTATGAACCGATTTCAAGTGATTCCAGAGATTTGTGGTAATCGTACCAGAGTTCGACAAGCTTTTGAGACAAATTTCACACTTCGCTCTTTGACCACATTCAGATTTTTTAAAAACATTCCACACTTGACTCATTTTGATAACTAAGCTTTAAAGTCCTAAAAATAACTGAGGCTATCAAACCGTACTTTCCCGAATTACCATCTGACTTTAAAGCAATAATGCTAGGTAAACCCAGTGATCGAGGTCCCCGACCACTCAAGGTTTTCTTCCAGTCTAAAGAAATAGCCCAGAAACTTGTCTCTGACTATAATACAATATTATTAGATCTTCTCATACTGACAATATGCGCCATCCCATTTCGGTTACTCGTGATCGCACTCCTTGTGAGCGTGAAGCAATTCGTCGCATATACACTGATTTGGAAAATCGTAAAAAGAACGGTGAATCTGACTTAGTAATCAAATACAGAGATGGACTCCCCTATATTGTACCGGCCCGCAGATTATCCCAGGACAGACGCCATCAAACATCGAACTCGGCCTTTACCCAATCAAAAAACTAGCAGTACTCGACTTGTCGCTGCCTAGGCAAGCACTCCTTCGCCTGAACAAAACTGGAAAAAATGACTCATGCTACTACTCCTGCTAAACTGATCCACTCTGCAATTGTATGTATAACATTAAACTTCGTTCTTCAAATTGCTCACGCTGCTACACTGCTAAACTAACTCTAGATTCTTTCTTGCAAGACTTCACTAACCTAAAAGCCTCACTTTGTAAACCTAATAATTTTTCTAATATTTGTAATAATAAATTGGGTGATAATACCCTTAATTCTAACCTTAAAATATTCCATCAAAATGTTCGTGGCCTTAAAACAAAATTAGTCATAGGCCTCAGATGTTCTTTCCCCATGTTTCACTTTTATGATATCATTATCCTCAAAGAAACCTGGCTGACTCCTGACATAAGTGACAGTGAACTTGGTTTCGCTGGCTTTCAAGTAATAAGACTTGATAGAAACCATAATAACAGCACTTCTACCCGAGGTGGCGGAGTTCTAATTGCTATCAAGAATACCCGTTCCTTTCAACCTATTTCACTAACCGTATCTAATGTTGAACAAGTATTTGTATTATTGTCCCTAAACTCTGGCCACTTATTGGTAGGAGGTGTATACTTACCCCCTCGATCACCCCTTTCTGTAGTTGAATCCCATACCACTTCTGTTGAACACATCATTTCCTCTTATAAACCAAATTCCCTAGTCATATGTGGTGATTACAATCTCCCTAATATCAACTGGTCTTCTGATGAATTAGGATTAATCGGGACTAATGATCCCAGTATAATTTCCACAACTATTATTGATTCTTTTTCTTACCTTAATTTTTTCCAGCATAATTTCTTTCGCAATAATCATGGCAGTATCTTAGATCTTGTCTTTTCCAACTGCAATAGAATTACAGTCAATTTAGCAACGGAATATTTGGTTATTCCTGATCCTTACCACCCACCTCTTCACGTGGTCCTTCCTTCACAATCTGACAAATCAGTAGTTAATACTCATACATATAAAGATTTTAAGGCTGCAAACTACACTGCCATAGCGCAATTTATTAACTCCTTTAATTGGGAATTAACATTTTCTCAGTACACAATCGAAGATGCAGCCTCTGTATTTAATGAAGCCCTACTTCATGCTATCGATTTGTTTGTTCCTACAAAAATATTTAAATTGCCAAAATTCCCTGCGTGGACATCTACCTCTCTTAAAAATCTTATTATGGAGAAAAAGCGAGCTCACGCACTCTATAAGTGTTCGAGGTCCCCCTATGACTACTCAGCTTTTTCCGAACTTCGTGCTAAATGCAAGCGCCAATCTAAAATAGACTACCAGTCTTATATAAAAAATACCGAAAACTCGTTCAATCGCAATCCCTCACTATTCTGGAAATCTATTAAAAATTTAAACCAGAAAAACACAATACCTACCACTCTATTTTGGAACAATGATAAGGTTGATACTCCTCTTGGGTCGGCTAACCTATTCTCTAAGTACTTTTATTCTATGTATAACAACTCTATTTCTCCACCCGTCAATATTTCTAATATTAATACTATTCCATATGAACTTCCTTCTAATTGTCACTTCTCCCTCGACGATGTGCAACTTGCACTCAACTCTTTAAAAAACACCAATTCTAATGGCCCAGACGGGATTTCAGCACGTTTACTTTTTAATTGTCAAGATTCTATTGTTTATCCTCTATTCTTACTCTTTAGGCTATCTCTTGATGAGGGTATCTTTCCAGCTGCTTGGAAAATATGTTCTGTCACCCATGTCTTTAAATCAGGAGATCCCTCGCTCGTTTCTAATTACAGGCCTATTTCCATCCGACCTCACATTTCTAAACTGTTTGAGTCCATCGTCTACTCCTCAATCAAAAGAAGTCTTAACCATATTCTAATGGATGAGCAGCATGGTTTCCGTAGTGGGAAATCTACTGTCACTTGCAGCCTATCTTTCACATCATATATATTAAAAAGCTTTGAATCTGATTGTCAAGTTGATGCTGTGTTCACGGATTTTAATAAAGCCTTCGACACTGTCATTCATAGCCGCCTTATCTCTGAATTGGATTCACTTGGTATCGGTAACCCTTTACTCTCATGGCTCCAATCATATTTAAGTCAAAGAAAGCAATTCGTAAGAGTTCACGGCGTTGACTCTGACTTATTTATTACTCCCTTTGGGGTCCCCCAAGGAGGGCATCTCAGTCCTCTTCTGTTCATCCTTTTCGTTAACTCAATTAACAGGTACATTTCTTCCTCTAAAGTTCTTCTGTTTGCCGATGATATTAAATTTTTCTCAAAAATTACATCTCCGTCTGACAGTCTTCAACTTCAATCAGATCTCAATACTTTGTCTCTCTGGGCCCAGCGTATTGGCCTAACGCTCAACCTCAACAAGTGTCATGTTATGACATTTCATAGAAAACGTACTTGCATAATCCATCCTTATTCCCTTAATGGCTCTACTCTCAAGCGTGTATCCACTGTCAAAGATCTTGGGTTCTATCTAACTCCTTCTCTTCCTTTGAACACCATATTGATGTTACTGTTGGTAGAGCGTTAAAAATTCTGGGGTTCTTAAAGCGCAGCACTAGCCTTTTCACGTCCGCTACTTGTATTCGCTCCCTCTATTTTTCCCTTGTCCGCTCTGTCTTAGAATATGGCTCAGTTGTATGGTACCCGTATCTAGCCAAGGACCAATTACGTTTAGAGCGTGTCCAAAACCACTTCCTTTCCTACACCGCTTTTATACTCAATATTGATCACCCACCCCATGATTACCTATCAGTTAGAACTTCCTTAAATATCCCTACTCTCGCATCTCGTCGTGTCGATGCTGACCTCTCATTCATCACCTCCCTCCTTAACGGCACAATAGATGCCCCTAACCTTCTGTCCTCCATCTCTTTCCGTGTTCCTGTGCATTTCACTAGAAATCACTCTTTATACCTTGTCTCCTCTCACCGTACTAATTACTCCTTTAATAATCCATTAGACAGAATGCTACGCCTACTTAATAGCTCCTGATCTGCAGCTGACTATATTATTGTTTATCTCTACTGAATGTTTTTGTCTTTAGTTTTATTTTACCTTAGCATGTACTCTTTTTAGCTGAACGCTGTTTAGTATTAGTTTAAACTTAAGTCTATATTTATAACTATATTTTCCATGTATTTTATTTCATTATTATCACTTCATGTTAATCTACTAATTGTACAATGTATCTATAAATTGCCGTTTGGCGTTAAATAAATAAAATAAAATAAAAAATAAATAAAATAAATTCAAGACAAGCTGCTAAGTAAAAACTAAAGACGAAATAGCAGTCGGACCCTAAAACATGTGCTCACTGCTTAATAACACAAATACTGGAAATCAGTTTTAGTATACTTACCTAGTTACCTAACCTAACTATAACAACTATAGACTGTATTATCATTTATTATAATGTTGATAGTCAAAGTATGGTATAATATTTTTACCTTGGCGACCGCGGTTATACTTGATACCGTGTTCGTTAAAAATGTACAGTCGCGTTTCGGTTAATTGATAATTCGATCAATCGATAATTCGATTAATCGGTAATGCGATTAAATCGGTACTTAATGCGATTAATCGGTGGTGAATACATTTTAAAAAATAATCGATTTAATCGATTAATCGATGCTTCAGTCGATTAATCGAAACAATCGAACAGCCCTACAGGTACCTACAGACCGATTCTGTGGCTATATCGTGTATATTTATAACCGAGTGGACAAAAGGACAAAAGGCAGTAAAATATAATATAATAACGCAGTTTATTGAATCAAAAAATCGAATTTTTCGTCGCATATTTTCATTTTCGTATATAGTAATAACGACACTGTCCGCTCTCCGATCTTCTCCGCGGCACTCGACTCGAGCGAAGTACTGACGCGGGCGGCTTATAAATTTAGCGGGGGACGCGAAGAACATCCAAACGGGGAGAGTAATACCACTAGAACGGGCCAAGACTCGAATTTTAGAAAAACCGGCAAAAAACGATGCGACGCAAGCAGTAGCGGCTCGTGAGTAAATATTCTGGGGAGACTTAAATTATATAACATAAATTCCATATTCCTTTTCCCCTCTAAATATTACGCAAGTAAAACAAAACACTTTATTCCGTTTATCACAACCAGTAAGCCATGGGAATTTATTATACTAATTCTTTTGAAAAGTTCTAATATATTTACCGTCTTGAATGTTAATAATAAATGAGGAGTTGGGCGATTAAGTTTTATTTGATTTTTTTGTTCATATGTTAAGGCATTAAAACCACTGGTTAGTAAAAATTCTATTATATTTTCTTTTTGCATTTTAAAATACAAACAAATCCTGTAATGCTTATAAAAATATAAAATATAGGGAGAGTGTTGTACCTTGGCACCATTTTTATAAAAAAAATTCTAGAACCTTTAATTTTGAATATTAAATGTTCATTTTTATTACTCATATAGACAATACACATAAGTATATGGTAATTTTTTTTAAAGGCCTTGTATCAATAATTTTTTTAATTAAAATTTATTTTTTAAAAACACAAAAAATGGTCCAAGGTACAATATATATTGTACCTTGGTATTTGGGGTATTGTACCTTGGTTTGCATTGAAATATGCATACTTAATTTCAAAAATAATTTTATATTATGTATTTGATTAGTTATGAATGCCTAGTTATTACTTATTTCAATTATTATAGTTACAAAATATATTTATTATTGAAGTGAAACTTCTTTACAGAGGGTAC